TCGTCGTCAGTATGGTGCATCCAAATTATAAAAGGGGCATGTCAACTTTGGAAAGAATCACTACTACAGGAGCAATGCGACCAATTTGTGGCAATAGGTTTGCTTGCACCGACCTGGTCTAGTTAGGTGCTGTTCAGGATGAGCAGTCTAATAGAAGGGGACGATGTTGTGTTACATAATTGTGGCTCTGACGTAGAGTAATTCCAGAAGCTGAATAATCTTCTGGAATTTTGTATTACCGCATGGATTCGGCCGCCTTTCCTCTGCTAGCTATTCTAGCTATATCAAAAAACGGTGTTTCTCATTACCTACATAGTCGAAGCGGCCTTTGAAGATTGGTATTTGCGAATTGTTTTGTAAGCGATATCAGTGTGAATTGTAAACGATAGTTATTAATGTAATTAGAATCAAATAAAATTAGTTAAACCACGTTTGCTTCACTTAATCTCTGAACCCACAGAAATACGTAACAGTATATATTGAGCTTTTAAAGTATTTTATAACTATTATATTATATATTTTAGGCTTCTAAAGTAAGTCAAGATATTATTAGAATCAGATCCTGTCAAATCATTAATATAATATTGGATAACCTTGTTGGAGTGGACATTAGTATATCATTATGCGAATATTTAGAAGAATATTTATTGCAACGTTTGAGGGTGAGTGTAAAGTTATTTATGGTATTAAAACTGTTCTATGGCAAAAGGTGTTTACATCTTGTTTAATTTGCAATGTCGTACGTTTAAATATTTCACTACTTATACTTTCTTTAAATCCAATGTACGTTTCGCCAGCAAGTACCAAGCTGTTCTTTGTTCTTTCTTAGCTTTCTTAGAAGACGCTACGTTTTGAATTTATTTTTATTATACTAGTAGTATATAATACATTATAGTGTTTCTCCCTACAAATTCCTTCAATTCTTTTATTTGTCTTTTATTCTTAATCTTAAGATCATAGCCTTTCAGAAGGTAAGCTTACCAGGTGAACAACAAGGTTTTCGTACTTTAAGATTGTGTACAGATGTAGTATTCATAAAGAAAATTACCGAGAAATCACTAAAATATAATAAACCAGCGTTTATATGTTTATATAAACAGAGTCAGAAATGTTTCATTAAAAACAATGGTGATGAATTCATCATACGAAGGTGTTTCACCCTGTATATTAGATTATAATTTGAACAAATAGTAAATTAAAGTCAAAAATCGACCTCTTGCGAGAATATTTTTTTATTTATTGACTATTTAGCTAATAATGAATTTATGCGTTACTTTATGGACGCACTGTATAAAGCATATTTATAAATAAAACAGTAAAAACTTTTTTTTTTTCAAAACTTAAAAAAATTTATAATTTTTATTTTTTTAATCACTACAACTGTTTCGGCAGAGTGCCTTTCTCAAGTGATCTGTTTTTGGTATGCGTTTACACTTTATAGTCTTTAACTGAATAACTGAGGAGGGAAGAACTGTTTGTTTCAAGTTGGCCATCCAGAATTGTGCCTGTATTTTTTATTTAGATAATTTTCATTGATTCTAATAAAGATAGCTTAAGGCCTTTATTCTGAATGTGAAGAAGTTTAAATTCGTCATTAAAAGAATAATTATGGTCTAGAAAGTGAAGTGGTTTTCTATTATATGAAAGTAGAATCTGGTTTTCTATTATTGAAAACCTTTTTATGTTTTGCTATACGTTTGTTAAAAGTTCTACCAGTTTGTCAGATGTAAGTTTTTCAGTCACACATTTAAGATTGTATACAGCAACACTCTGTAAGTGCTTTTTTGGGTTCTTGTTGTTCTTAATATATTTGCCTAACTTGTTTGTTCTAAAAGCTAGTGTTATTCCTTTCTTTTTTATGTGTTTGGTTATTTTTGTTGTTATCTTGTCTGTATATGTAATCGAGAAGTAGATACGGGTTGGTTTTTTTTTCTGGTGATGGAAATACTAATTTTAGTTCTTTCTTATGTAGTTTTTGATTTAACATTTTATTTATTGGTTGTTCATTGTACCCATCGTTTACTGTTATTTGCTTAATAATATTCAATTCTATCTCGAAATTGTTTTTTTGACATGAGAATTTCTATTAATCTATGTAACATCCTAGGGTAGACTGCCGAATTATGTTGTGTAAGATGGGATGATGGTAATCTCAGTATAGGTAGGTTTATTCCTACTAGTGTTATTTCCTACTAGTGTAAGTTATTTCCTAATATTGACGCCTGTCCTTATTATATCACAGCTCTATCTATCTAATCTTCACAAATGTCGCTCTGATATCTGTGACAGGCATCACAGACGTTATAGAGCACATAGCATGGCTGAAGCGGATTTGGGCGGGCCATGTAGAAAGAATGTATGACGAGCGGAGGACCCAAAAAATTATAGTGTGGAGACCACGAGAAGATAGAAGAAGCAGAGGTAGACCACCTGCACGATGGACAGACAACGCCGACGCCAAAAGAATCACTGGGAATTGGCTGCAAGAAACAGACTGACAGAACTGGAAGAAATTAGAAGAGGCCTATGTTCAACGTTTGACGCAAAAGGCTGGATGATGATGAATAGTAGTGTTACCTTTGTCTGCTTTCACAAAGTCCTGTTACAAAGAGAATCAAACAGCCATTTCAATTAAAAATAAATCAATAAGAATCAACATAGTGTTTACAAAAGCAGACAAAGATAACTATTGCTATAGATAAAATAGAATATAATAACAAAACAATAACATCTTTTAATAATCAAAATATTGAACCAATAAAAAAAGATCCGACTTCAAAGTATCAAAATCAAATTAAAGTGACTGGTAATAAATTAGTGCAAGTTTGGAGCATTTCACGTTTATTATAAAATTTTAAACAATAGCGATACACAAGTATATCGCAAACAGGTCCGGTTATGGCATTAACACTGACGTTTGAATATTCAAAATCAATATTAAATTCAATAGAACAGAAATACCTCAATATCATAAACCACAGCCACGTAAATTATACTCTTATTAAGCTACACAAACCTGATTACTCAATAAGACCTGTAGTTTCTTTTTATACAGCTCCGTCATACACACTCTCAAAAAAACTGTTGGAGATTGTTTTAGAACACACTAAATTTTCACCTTAATTTACGGTAAAAAATACAATAGAACTAGTTAATAAATAGAACCTTTTTCAATTACGTAACAACTCCAGATTAGTTTCATTTGACATAAAAAATCTTCTAGTATTCCTCCTAGAGAAACTTTTATTCTAGTAAATAACCTTTTAGACCATAATATTACAAATTCAATGATTGCATTTCTGACATTTTACATCTTCTTAAAATTTGCATAAACCAAGACTACTTTGAATTTCATAATTAAATATATACAAATAACAGTGCAGGATTTATAATGGGTAATCCTCTAAGCCCATTGCTATCTTTTTATAGATCATCTAGAAACAAAGTATTCAAACAGTTTTTATATTGGTGGAAATACGTAAACTATGTACTGGTATGTTTTACAGGAACTAACAGGTAACTTGACTAATCCTTATCGTATATTAATTCACTCCATAGTCACGTTTAATTCATAATATAAACAGAACAGAATTAATTAATAAATTTTCTAGATTTAAAAATTATCAGACTTAAACATAAACATGAGTTCTCCGTATTTCATAAACCTACCCATACTGACACGACTATACTCAATTCATCATCCCATCCTACACAACATTAATTAGCAGCCTATCATATCATGTTACATAGATTAATAGAAATTCCCATGTCAAAAAATAAATTCGAGACTGAATTGAATATCATTAAGCAAATACAGTAAACAATGGGTACAACGAACAAAAAAATAAATAAAATGTTATATTAAAAATTACATAAGAAACCCCGAAATTATTATTTTGACCTCCAGTCCCCATACAGTCAAAATATCAACAAAAATAGTCAAATCTGTGTTTATACGTCCATGAGTCAAACACATAAAAAAGAAAGATAAAAGCTTTTAGAACAAACAACAACTTATGTAAATATATTAAGAGCGGCAAGAGCCAAAAAAAAAAGCATGTACGCACTTCATCTCATCTTTCTTTTAATGATGAATTTGAAATTCTTCACATTCAAAATAAAAGCCTAAAGCTCTATCTCTATTAGAATCTACGGAAATTAAGACTTTCAAAAATACAGACATAATTCTGAATGACCAATTTGACACAAACAATTTTCACCTCCTCAACTTATTCTGTTAAAGACTATACAGTTTAAAGGCATACCAAAAATAGATCACTTGAGAAAGGCACTCTGCCGAAATAGCTGTAGTGATAAAAAAAATAAAAATTATAATAAATTTTGTGGAAGTTTTGAAAATAAGTTTTTCAGTTCAGTGTTTTATTGTTAGATAAAATAGATTTCCATCAAGTCGCCGCTTTTTATCTTGTTTTCAGATTTTTCTTGTTAAGATTCATAATTTATATTATTCATTATATTATTCAAGTTAAATAAAAGAGAAAGCGTGATTGCTGTTAAGTAATATTCATTTTTTTTTAAATACTTTTATCTTATTAACATTTATTTTTTAATATGGTCACATTTATTTTAGGATCCCAAAAACGTTGTAAGGCAACAGGCCATCATAGCATTGTATCGACTACAAGAACCTGGTAATCCCGAAGATGAAATCTTGCCTGAGTTCATACGTTTAATGAATTCAGATACTTTCCCAAAGGTAAAAAGCAATTAAAATAATTATCATTTAATATGCTGCAATATAATATATTTCAAAGTTCTTGACATGTACTGGTAGCACTACACAAACTATTTTCAAATTTCAATCATCTAATGTTTGTCACTATATAGCGAACAACAGATTGTAGATGTAAACCTTAAAATGGGGATACCATAAAATTGAAATTAACTTTGTTTTGGTTTACGATATACAAACGATGAAATTTGAAGAATTTTACTTAACCCAGTGAAGATGTAACATACGTCGCCCTCAATAAAGGTGTTTCCAATGATGAGACAGGCGTAACTATATAAAAGCTGAAACTCAAAGACCATCATAGTATGTATTTCCATTTCCATTGTAATAAAGTACAATCTGTAAAAAAATATTTTAAGTTTGGTACATCTAAGGCAAATCATTTCACAAAAGAACGAAAATAAAACAAAGAAGAATTTGTTCGATGTAGAGTGCCTTAGAATAAGGCACTTAATAAATCTAAAGAATAAAACAATTGATAATAGCAGACAATAATGCTATACTAAACAATGATTAAGGAAGAAAAATGGGAAGAATATATAGACAAAAGAAAATTGAATACAACGAAAAAGAAGAGAAGAATACAATAACTAAAAGAAACATTCCAGAAAAAAAGACATACTCTCCTTCAACCACGAATAAAAACGAGTAAAAAAGAAGCAATTATAGGTATAGAAGCAATTATAGGTATATGGAAATTACATTTTAGGGAACTATTGAATGGAGAAATAGGATAACGAAAATCCCCTTATAGAAAAAGATAACAGAATAGTTTCTAGTATCTAGTGAAGAAGATAAAAATAAGAATATAATAAAAGGTCAAAAAAATAACAAGATTGGCAGAAATCTCAATAGTGGTAGATATGCCAAAAATGTAGATGAAGAGCTTCAACAAAGGCTGTATAAGTTGTATAACCTTATCGAGAGCATATTCTCCTATACTCTGTTAACAATTTGTCGATAGCTCACTACAAGTTTAATCCTAATTAGAGAACTAAAATACAGAGAGGATAGGTAATACGATTTAATAGTAAAAACCAACCTGAAACTGGCTGTTTAAGATGTTTTCGACTAACCCACCTTATATCTGTAGGAATACAATACATCGGTCAACTTTTTAATCCGATTACGACAGTATTTTGGTTACAAATGACCGACCAGTATCGTAGAGTATATGATTGAAACATTTGTTTTAATAAAACTTCTTTATTTTATTCAAAAATAAAAATTTTCTTGCCATTTGTAAAAGATACATTTATTTAATTAAGGGGAAGGACGCCAAATGTCGCCTGGCAAAATTTTCAATGTGTTTTAAATGTATCCATTATTTTCGAATCCGGAGAAAACTAATAAATATTTTTGAAAAATTTAAACGCAGAATGAAAGATTACATTGTTACTGAGGGCAGAGAGTCCCTGAAAACTTCTACAATGTTTATTTTAATATGTTATGTAACAGGGGTGAAAATAAAAGAAATATAGTATAATTGTTAATTGAAAATATTGCATGCAAAAGAAACTTTTTATTTATTCTAATAAATATTTCATTCTGCCTTTAAATTTTTCAAAAATGCTTTTTAGTTTTTTCAGGAATTGAAAAAAAAAATGGATACATTTAAAACACATTAAACATTTTGACAGGCGACATTTTGCGCCTTTTCCCTTTAATACCTTACGATTACAACTACTATTACTTACCTTACGATTAGAAAACTATTCAAATTCAAAATAAATAGGATCAACTTCGGAATCCGAGTCGTCTTGAGGGTTAATAATTAGCAGTTGTGTCTCTACGATCGCATCAATTATGTTATCAAGATCCCACCTTTTTTGTTATTCTTCTATTACATGTCTTACTGCATCTTTCCAGTTTTGTTCTGTAATATGTTGTAAAGACTCGTATAACAATTCACGTACAGCTTGTATTTTATATGACGTATTTTTTCTAACCACATAACTTTTCATTTGTGCCCAAATTAGTTCAATTGGATTTATTTCGCAGTGGTAGGGTGGAAGTCCAAGGACTGTGATGTTTCGCCTTTCCGCCATTTTGTCAACTACGTATTTCTTGAACTTAGATTTGTGTTGCCGGGCAATTTTTAAAAATTCTGCTTTTACCATTCCATCTTAGTAAGGCAGATACTTATTCCGCAGCCAGTCAAGAATATCCTGTTTCTTCCACGCAGTCGTTGGAAGTCTTTCTACTAGTCGTGAATGATACGGTGCATTATCTAATACTATAATTAAATTTGGTGGTATGTGTTCAATCATCTGCTCAAAATGCTCTTCGAAAACATCAGCTGTCATCTCCTCGTGATAGTCTTTTGTGCTTTTGGACTGAAATTCCAACAAACCATGCTTAAAAAATCCTTTTTCACTGTCAATGTGAGAAACTATTAATCTACTGCCTTTACCAGAAGGTGGGGAGATACCAGTAGACCAACCTTCCATAAAGGCTTGCCTGGAGCTTAATATATTTTTATCTGACCAAAATTTTTTTAGAGTATGACCTGAGTTTACCCACGTATCTCCTCCCGGTCAATCAAAAGTGATTTTCGGTCTGATTTCTCCCACCGGAACTTAATTCTTTTAAAACTTGTCACAATTTAGTTCGTCCGAATGTCTCTAACTTCTTGTATAATTTTGTTTAGGTTTGGTATTTCTTTTTTGAAAAAAAAATCCATGAATCTTCCTTCGAATACCATTTTTGGCAAATTCATCAATTTCAATAGGCCTTTTCCCTCTCTTTAAGTGTTCGTTTGTGTTTGGGTTAGCTATACCGTGTTTTTTTCTTTCTGATAGGAACCTATATATAGTTGACTCCCCTACGCCAGTCATGTGTAGGTGTAGGTGTAAAACTTGATGATGTTGATGATAAAGCCTACACAAACAATCCAACAAAACGAGCACGAGCGAAAGGTACGTATATGTTCGTAGATATATGGAATAAAAAATCCGCACTGCATATAATTCGCAAAAGAAATATTCGAGACGCTAATTACTGCCGTAGACGACGAAAAACACCGACGAGCCGTAAATCACATACGATAAAAAACGTACTAAACAAAAAAATTGTTTTCGTTCGTAATAACTTAGCCCTTTCAAGTTAAGTTTCGAATATAAACACTAACAGACGAGGCACGTGGCCAAAGCCGCTATCTATACCCATTATATTATTAAAAATCTGGGGAATTCCATCCTAATTATCTTGCAACAAATAGTACCTTCGGATATGAATTCCAGGTTTTCTAGTAAAGTAATTAAACGCGAAGATTAGTATTGAAATATCTAAAGAGATAAGGTATTCTTATTTACAAAATTGTTAATGGTTAAATTTTTATTTTTATTAATATAATAACCAACATTAGCCGTGAAAGTTTTAATTGTTTTTTGCTAAATATATTAGTACTAAAACATTAATATTAATTTTAATGAATAAACACCTCGGGAACTATGATGATACAAATTTAACGACCGTTTTATGACTTTGAGGCAGATTTCGTGGTATCAACAAGTTGTGAACGGATAATATTGCTGTTGTCTTATATTTCTCAGTCATAATTTCTTCTTTTTACCTATACTTCTTCCTTCCATCTTTCCCTTTAAGATTAGTTATGTGCTGTATTCAGCTTTCCGTACTTAGTGTAGCGCATGATATGACCGAGGTAAGCTATGTTTCTCATCAATAGTTGGAACTACTTGTGACTGGGTATTCAGTTTCCTTAATACTTCTGCGTTGGTTGTTCTACCGGTCCAGATGATTTTTAGCATACTTCTGTAGAGCCATATTTTAAACGCTTGCAGCTTTTTTCAATATTCCTGCTTTATCATCCATGCAGCAGTAAGGGCCAAACATAACACTTTAGTTTACGAAGTCTTACCTGGATGGCTAACTTCGGGTGGCATAGAAATTTCTATACAGGCATACAGGTGAGTATTTATTTCTCTTCCAAATATATGTAGCTGTTGTTTTGGATGTTAGTATTGTTGATAACTATTTTTGTCGCTGTTTTGCATGTAGCTTCAATGATCAAAAACTAGAGTTTCGGTTTTTGAGGAGTTTATCTCTAGCAGCATTCTAGCACTCGATCTGGACAAGACATTAATTAGTATATATAGATGTTCTTCAGATTCAGTCAGTACCACAGCGTTATTTGTGTATCTTAGGTTATTGATAACAATTCCGTTGATTTTGGCACCGCCCGGGCGTTTCTCCAGGGGTTCCTTAATAATATGTTAAAGAGAAGCGGCGCCCGGAGGGATCCCTTACGTACTCCTTATTACGTACTTATTATTAATAAAATTAATAATAACAATGTGTCGTCCACCGAACCACGATTATACTCTGTGATAAAGTCTTGCGTTTCATTTTAGGTGTCGTAAAACCTAGAAATGTAATATGTTTGTTTTTTTCTATTTCTATGATGAACTTCTCCTTAGGTTTTAAGGAATTAACAAATTAAAGAAATTTGTTCTTCTCTCATGGCTTCAGATCACAGAAGTGTTATCTACATAGCGAAACCAACAACATAGTTTTTTTATCTGCTTTGATCTTTAATGTCCTTTACCTTTCCGATAAAGTTAAAGGGCATAATATATGAACCTTGAAAACAATGTTCTGCTACAGAATACCGGGTGCGAAAGCGTTCATTTCTTGTCAAGTTATGATAATAAACTATGTTGTTACAAAATGACCTCAATTTATAATAAACTGTTTGTGTTATTTAAAAAATCAATACACTTTTATTTTTTACAGGTGAGACAGTTGTGTGTTGAAAAAATAGCCGTTCGATCAGACGTTATCCGTTATATGCTTATAAGAATTCGAGATAATGATCCAAAAGTCCGTGTAGCTGCTTATAAGAGATTGGCAGGGTTTCCAAAGTTTTTAAAGGTAAATAAATAAACTGTTAAATATAAATGTAATGATAATACTGCTGTGATATGTTGTTAAATATGTTATTTATAATTATTCTAGAGCGTGGCCCATTCTAACGTATCGGGATATTAGGTGTGATGTTCTAGTAAAATGCTTTGGTTTTGTCACACCAAAAATATTCTAAGCAGATTTATTTTAAAATTATATACACTACGGGACACTATAAATAAGCTATAGTATTGTGTTCGCGACTTAGTAACAAACAGACTTCGGTCTTATAGTTGTCACTGTTTCTCCACGGGTAGTAAAAACTAAAAACTGATTGATTTTTTATCTTAATATAATCGTTATTCCCTCTCCTTTCATTTGCTATGTCGCATGTTAGGATTGAATCAGTTTTTAATTTTGTACTCAGCCAGAGATCTTCTTTAAGTCAATAATTAAAAATTTGTCTTAAAGTAAATCTATTTTTATTTAGTGAATCCCCTGTTACTGCATTACATGCCATAAATTTCATCCACACAGCGTGGACACTCGTTGATAAAAAAACGGGTGTGGCAGTCCGGTGGGAGTGCCGGAAGAAGATATACTTCTATACACGCGTTCGCCGTTACAAATTTATATGGGAGTCAATCTGCACAATCATTACATATGTAATACTATAGGTAAGAGAGAGCAGAAACATAATTAGGTATATAGGTATATGTTGCATCGATTGCTGTATTCACACACTTGACCTGTAATAGGAGTATAGTAAATGAAGGATTGAATCGATATTTTGACGAATGTATTTTTTTTTATTTTCATATACCTTATAGGTAAAAGTTTATGCTCGGTATGGTAAAATTTAACAGAATATCTAACACAGATATAAAATCGTATTTTCAGCGAATAGACAAAGATAAAAATAATAATAAGATGGCATATTTCCCCTTGATCTCCCCTCCATATTTCTCATTGCCCATTAGTGAGACGATTAGTTTCGATCAGAGATATTGTACATATCTCTGGTTCCGATCCTAATATACCATGGTACAATGAATACCAGAGGTATGACACATAATGTTCCAAAATCGGTTCGCTTTCGCGCATGCCGTAGTAAAGACCGCTTATTGCCGCAACATTTGAATGTAGTTGTATAGTAAAGACTTTTAATTTTAAGATTTTTTATATAATTTGGCTAATTTAAATATAGTAATTATAAAGACATAAAATTATGTTGTAATGTTTAATCATAAATAAAAATAAACGGTATGTTTTAGTACCCGTTGAATGTAAGAATATAGCTTAGGATATTTCTTCCACAGACCATACGGTACGAATTTTTGGGTTTTGCAAACGTTTTAATTGTCTCGGTGTAAAAAGTTTCTCTACCGCTGATTTTATCTGAACTAGTTCAGCTACTTGTTTTTTTACCCTAAAAAATTAAGCACTTTAGTCTGCATACTGTTTTAAATAAGTTTTAAAAACAATCAAGTTGCTACTGGAATTATTATTAACATACCCTTTTGACTTAGATGTTGATTGTACATATTCAATATTAAGTTGACTAAAATATGCTTGAGCTTGAACTTTGAGTTGACTGAAAAAATAACATATATTTTTATTAAGACTAAAAAAGTAGTGAATTGATGTAAGCTACCATTCATGCAGATGGTTGTGACGCATCTGATGTAAGATTTATTTATCATTTTCTTAGAAAGATAGGTAAGTAATTTTCTTTTAAAACATTGTACCTACTGAAAAAAAAATAATGCTTTTCCTTTCTAGGAATAAAAATTGATTGTTTCATGCATTGATATTTTTTATTTTTCATGACTAATATTATTATTAACATACCCTATTGACTTAGATGTTGATGGTATATCTTCAATATAAAGTTGATTACAATATCCTTCTTGAGCTTGAACTTTGAGTTGACTGAAAAAATAACATATATTTTTATTAAGACTAAAATAAGTAGTGAATTGATGTAAGCTACCATCCATGCAGATGGTTGTGATGCATCTGATGTGAGATTTATTTATCATTTTCTTAGAAAGATATGTAAGTAATTTCCTTTTAAAATAATGTAAAACATACCTACTGAAAAGAAAATGCTTTTCCTTTCTAGGCATAAAAATTCATTGTTTCATGAATTAATATTTTTTATTTTTCATGACAAATATTAGTATTAACATACCCTATTGACTTAGATGTTGATGGTATATCTTCAATATTAAGTTGACTACAATATCCTTCTTGAGCTTGAACTTTGGGTTGACTGAAAAAATAACATATTTTTATTAAAACTAAAACAAGTAGTGAATTGATGCCAGTTACCATGCATGCAGATGGTTGCGATGCATCTGATGTGAGGTTTATTTATCATTTTCTTAGAAAGATCAGTAAGTAATATCCTTTTAGAATAATGTAAACCATTATATCTACTGAAAAGAATAGTATGCTTTTCCTTTATATGCATAAAAATTGATTGTTTCATGCATTGATATTTTTTATTTTTCATGACTAATAATTAATAAAAATAAAGATTTAGACGTCATTGACTTAAAAGTAGTAAGAAGCTGCTCAACATACTTTTTGGACCCTCTGTGTTCGGCTCTTTGTTTGCGTTTCTTTTGGTTGATTGAAAGGGTAGCCGATTTTGATTTAGACAAATAAAGACTAGGTACTGCCCCAGGTTTGAGTTTTAGACCCTTTTTAGAAATGTAATTTAAAAGTTCCTGTTGTAGATTTCTTTGGTAATCTTCAGTTCTGAAATGTTTAGAAAAATTCTTGCAATATTACAATTAAACTTATCCTGTCTACAACAAGATATTATCCACAGTTTTCTGGTTAAACTATCTTTAGGAAATGTATGAAACCTAAAGATTTTATCTTCATTATCACTATTGCAACAAGCAACTGCACAGCGCATTTTGACAAAGGTATAAAACCAGATATACAAAATGACAAATAAAAACTTTTAGTTTTACAAAAAAATACTATACAGTATAAATAAACAGTAACTCAACATCACAAATACACACAAGTCTCAGACACAGGCGCGCCTTATTGGTAATTTTTTACGCGCTCGTCTGGGATACGGGCGATATTAAATTTTACCCATCAAATTTTTAAGCCCTTGCGAAGTGAATATTTGTATAAAGGGACATAAATATCTCAGCATTTATCTAAATTATTTTTATATTATCAAATAGATGACTCTTTTCGATTCGATACTTACAAACTTATTTGTAAGTAAGTAAATTGTTAATTAATTATAAAAATTTGAAAACATTATTCCTCACATTTGTAGCTCCCTGATGAAGGACATAACCAATGTCCGAAAGCTTGGATTACAAATTTAAAAGAGTCCACCTTTCATTTTTATTGCTGAATACCCAATATTTAAAGTTTACTTCCTCCTTACGTGGTCAGCAAATACATCTGGTTTATTATATATATATATATATATATATATATATATATATATATATATATATATATATATCACTGTCTAGTTGTCTAAGGCTGGATCATAAATTTGCACAAGGAAAAACTTTTTCAAACTGCAGTAATTATGTACAAATTTAGAACTGATGGGTGTGTGAAAATTATGTACGTTCCAGAATTGAACATAATTAGTGAGTTAAAAAAGTCTGCCAAGTACTACCAATACACGAAGAAGAAGAATATAGGGTACTATGCAAAAAGAAACTTAAAAAAAGCACTAAGTCAAAAGCAAACATTAGTAAAGACGCACCTAAAGCTCTAAAAGAAGATGTATCCATAATATTAACAGCTGACAAGGACAACGCAACTGTAATTTATGGACAAAACCGATATTAGTTGAAAATTCAAGAATTGGTTACAGCTGGGCTTTTTGTTTTTTGAAAAATTGTTTTTTATCATAGTAATGATGATTTATAAATGTAGAGTCATAAAAATGCCAATGATTGTACTTTATCTACATAATAATTCGAGTGGATTATTGGATTGGTGTAACTTAAATCCCTTGAATTTAACCACATAAATGTAAGGTAATGAGATTTCTTACGAACAAACATTTAATTGCATTTGAATACCATTTTAGAGTTAATCACATTTAATGAACTTGTTGTGATTTTTGACCCTACAGTAAGTTTTAAGGACAATTTCTCTTACGTTTCTAATAAATTCATGAAGCTTTTAGGTTTCATAAAATGTAGCCTCTCTGAATTTGATAATATTAATTGTTTCAAAAACGTCTAGTGTTCTATTAAATCCCTAAGAGTGCAAAACATTTTTAAGATTTATAGCTTTTAAATTAAGAATACCTGTAAATGAAATTGAATATAATGATTTACAATCTTTACTTAAATTGCCTGTTCTTGAAGAAAAGCGAATATTTCTAGATGTAGCTTTTATGTGCTTTTTCGGAAAAGGTTTACTTCTTTACTCCCTTTAGTGACACTAAATCTCAAGATATTTTATTTAGAATTTCATTATAGAATTTATACTGTAAATAAACTCATATAGAGAATCTATAGAAATGCAAACTAATTTAATAGCATAACTATTATTTGGATTTATTAAATGATTCAGTGCAGTACTACTTTAATCTATTGTTAAAAGTTTCTTATACATTAAAGGCATTTTATATTAAAAAATGCTTGGCCTAGCTTATTGAAATTAGCCATGAATAAAAAAACATAGTGCGTCGCCATAATAACGATTAATAACAGGAATTGTATATTGAAAATAATTTTTTTTATCTTATATATTATTTTATATGATTAAGAATTTTTACATTGCTATGGTATCGATATTAAAAGTTTTGTTGTCAAATATATGTTTGAGGAATGTGTGGCAAATCTACAATAATAAATAGGAGAGCTTTTTCCCGCAGAATCTCGTTAAGTATCTAAATTATTTCAGATCTCAGAAAAGCAGCAAGTCCTTTGTTCTGGATTTTTCGATAAATGTGAAGAAGTAAACGAGTTTGTCAAATCAACACTAATTAAATCTTGGTTGGACTTTTACGATAACGATATACTAAAATTTATGAAGTCTTTGAGGTTGGATGCCGATGAAAAGGACATCAAAGATACGATTGAAATATTCGAGAAAGTGTTAGGAGTAATATTTGAGTAAGTATTTAAACAAACATGTAAAGTAATTCAGTAATTGCATAGTAAGTTTAGATATGATTTTCTACATGGTAAAACTTCTAATAGTATATTGTAACAAACCAACCTCTGACGCTGAGCCTCTGGAGGAGGCGTAATATGTTTTTCAAACCGCAACATGTGGCATTTCGAGTGAGTTAGACCAGCGACCTGAGTGGTCTGACCGTATTGTATATATTTTATTTTAACAGATGTAAATAGGACACAAAAAGACAGTATTCGAATTATATTTAGGGAGTTAACATTTAGCTTTTGTAAAATAAACACGATTATACAGCTTTATCAAATCATCGTAATTTTCATTATAAAATAAACCCTAAAAATTCTGAGATTAATTAATATTAGTATAACAGAGTATTATATGTTCGGCTATTCCACGTATTAATATGTTAATAAATGGCGCCCAGCTTGTGGCTTTTATTTGAAAATAATTATCGATGAAAAGTTTTGCTTTGTTTCGTTATTTCTAACGAAAATCGCCATAGAAAAGTGTGCTTTTGTTCGGTGTTTACGTGAAAAGTAAGTTTCGGTAGTAGTAATTCGGACCATTTTCACGGGTGTAAGATCGTTAAGTGAAAGTTAAAAATAATTAATAAATAATAAAATAAATTAATGGACCTAGTTTTTGTTAAAAAATCACAAAGTGCTTCGTTAGATACTCGGACACTTTTTCTAGTTAACTTATTAGACAATTAACTTTGATCAAGTGAAAGGCATTTCTCGAGCACAGTTTTATTAATTAAATCTTGCCCAAATACTTTCGCTTTCTAGAGCATCTTCAGGGGCATTTCGTCAATTTTGGCTTATCCAACAATCACAGGATGTCATAAACATAAAATTGTACATAACACTACACTACGCAAGGACAAACAGTTTAAAATTATTTAAAATAGGTGAAGCTACATTATGGTCGGCAATAAGCAATATAATAACAATAAAGTGTTAATTTAAATATCTGTTGGTTTTCTTTGGACATTGTATATTATTGATAAAAAAACTGAGAAAATAATCTCTATAACCTTTTTATTTTTAGGATAACAAATAGAAGTACTTTAACAAAAACTCTTCCTTTAAATAATAAACATTTGGTACCTTTTGAAGAGTTAAACTGGGAGGTAGCTAGTTTCTGGAGGATATATGTGCAATATTTAAGTCGAAATGCAGATTTTGGAGAGGAACTTGAGAATGTAGTACCAGAATTGATTTATCTTTGTAAATATATAAAGCAGTAAGTTATTTAATTATATGATTATATGGGGTTTAAATCTTTGTTTTTCTTCTATTTTTGCTATTATATTAATAAAAAGGAACATCTGTGGGTTTATAAATATATAAACCATAAATGAGATAGTCTGTAGTCTCCTATTTCTTGGACTTACGGTATATACACAGCCAGTGGTACGTTTTGAATTCTCACGTCTGATTCGACATCCAGTCTATTACGGTATTTTCTTTTTGTAGCTGTGTATGCTGAAAATCCCGTTTCACACAAGTACGTTATTGAGAATGGTAGAAGAACATTTGTAGCAGTTTTTATTGTGAAGCGAACCTGCATCAAAAATCTGTTGTCCCGGAAAACATTGATGGTGTACGCAGCATATTTGAAGGAGATCGAAACGTTACTTATCAGGAGATTCGTGCATCATTGGGCATAGGCACGAGTCAAATACAGACAATTTTACATTAACATTTGGCAGCGAGTAAGATGTGCAGTATCCTCATAATTTGACTGATGCCCATAAGAAGTAACGTGTTGATTAGTATCACGTCACACTTGAACGATTCAACGGAGGTAGTTCAAATTGGCAAACAAATGGTCGTGAGTTTTTTTTTAGGAAAAGGGACATGTTGTTAAGATTTCTTTAGAGAATGGTAGAACCGTCAATCCTAAATTTTAAATAATAATTTTTTTGTCAGAAGTAATTGATGAACTCGAAAAAATAACCTAAATTGTCACATCCTCTTGCATCAGGACAATACCAGTTCTCACATGGCTCCTAGAACATCCGAATATTTGAACGGGAAAAACATCGATTTAGTGGACCATCCTTTATACAGTTCTGATTTGGCACCACCTCATTTCTTTACAAACCACACAGTAAACGTTTTAAGACGCCAGATGACGCGGTTGTCACAATCACGACCCAATCAAAAATTACAATTTTTGATACTATTTCTATATATACTTATACTACAATTTTTCGGGCTGGCATAAATGCTTCGACGATTGGTTTGTTCGAATGCAAAAGTGTTGGAAACACAATAAAGTTGATTGTTTCTACAAATATGTTTTCCCTCTATTATTTGTGCAAAACTTTTAGTGCACGTCTCGTACATAGGTTTCTTTTACTATAACTAATTGAAGGTGAAAACCTATTGAATTTGAGTCAATAGGTCTTCACCTTCTTATATTAATACGCCTTTTCTTTTTCGTGGTGGAAAAATCCTATGACAACTCCTGCTTGAATTTTGGGTACATAGGTTCCTCTTGGTGTAAAGAAGAACACTAGTGAATTCGGGGTCAATAGGTCTCTTCTTCTTGTCAGTCTTATACCTTTTCGAGCCCCAGACGGGGATCTGATTCCTATTTTATCAAATTCTCCATTTTTTCTTTCTATTTATTTAGCATATGGCTACATGCAACATTAATATGATATGATATAACAACAAATAATAAACTAAATACCAAATCCATGCCGTCCTTGAGATGCCTTCAAGAAGTCGAATCAATTCCGTGTGTATGGTCGTAAGTGACATTCATGACAGATATGCTGGAGATCATCTTTCTAGGCCGCAATCACACTTCAGTGATGTCGCTATTCCGCATTAGTGGAGCGAATCGGCACACCTGCCATGGCTAGTGCGGACTTCATTTAATGCGGACCATTGTTTGCGATTTAATTTAATGCCAGTGATATTGCAGGTGTGACCTTCAAACCAGTTCTGTAGTTAATCATTTGTCTGTTGGTTCCAATTAAGATCCCACTATTTTATACATTCATAGTTATTGTTTTGAAGTTGTGTAGCTATCCTTATGTGTGTCTAGTACACCGCAGTTATAGGAATTCTTTTGGTTTGGCTTCAATCTTTCTAAATTCATGCAGTAGAGCCTCATTATGTGGAGGTCAAGAGGTAGTACGGGAAGTAGCGCCGGTAGCCAGTGTGTGGGTGTTGATTTAATAGTACCAGAAATCAGCCTCGTTGTATTATTCAATTGTCTATTAAAAAGTGTGGTGTGGCTATTGTTTGTCCAAACTGGCAATATATTAGTGATGGGAAGACCTGTTTCGTTTCAGCGACCCGGGTCTTCCAGGTCATTGATTAAAATGACCCGTTCATAAAGATCAGTTCATATGAACTACTAATTAGTGTGTAGAGTTTAATATTGATATGTTTATGAATATTTCTGAAAGTATATGAATTAATGATAATGCAGGACCGGTTCATATAGATTCTTTCATTAGAACGACTTTAATTATATTGTTGTTTACGTGTAGAATTCGATATTGTTACTATAAATTTAAGTTAATTGCTATTTAACTGGGAATAAGCCACAATTAAAGATAAAAATACGTTTATTGACGTTTCAATTTCCACTTCGGAAATCGTTCTCAAAATACAAACAGTAAATTAAACAAATTTTGTTTTTTGTTACATAGTGAAAAATTCTTCTAATAATTTAATTTTATCTGACTCATTTATATTGACAATTCAGACATACATTATCCATTTTAAAGTAGACGACTTTAAAATGATATTGCCAATATTGTTGAGTTGCGCTCCTGGGACGACTGTACTTATAAGATAGTTCATTCGATTACATGAAATCAACTTTAACTTGAGAATATCCGTCAGAAAAAAATCATAGCATATAATTCGTCTTTAAAAAGACAAACACATGACATGATGACAGTAAAATTCTCCTGTTAGTGATTCCATAGTAAATTATGAGAGAAAAACCAGGAAAAAAACCTCATAATACTATCCCGACATGGTAAGTATTTGTTCGTGCAATTAGTTTACCTTCAATAAACACCAAAATTCTGATTTTATATGTTTCGTTATTTAAAAAACATAAATGATGTATCCTCTATATGTTACTGACTTACTAATTTTCTTATTAATAACTTCCTCTTTCAATATTGGTAACCAGATCCTACTACATTCTGCCGAGGAATTTGCGACACAATTGGCCTCATTTAGCATAATTAAAGCCGCTTCTTTGATTTTTCTTTTTTACCATTTGTCTCTTTTAGGACTACATTTGAATTATTCCATTGAACCCTATGTTCATTATCCCATGCGTGTTTACATATTTTAGATCTATCAAATTCTCTATTTTTAATATAAGATTGATGCTCAACATTTAATGTTTCACCTAAATAAAACTGATAGCATTCACAAGGTATTTTATAAATGCAATTCTTTGTCCTTTCTTGTTCATCGTTAGGTTTGGTTTTGGACAAAATAGATCTCAACGTGTTTGTTGTTTTGAATGTTGTTGAAATTTTGAATTTATTGCAGGAGAATTTTACTGTCATCATGTCATGTGGTTGTCTTTTTAAAGACGAATTATATGCTATGATTTTTTTCTGACGGATATTCTCAAGTTAAAGTTGATTTCATGTAATCGAATGAACTATCTTATAAGTAAAGTCGTCCCAGGAGCGCAACTCAACAATATTGGCAATATCATTTTAAAGTCGTCTACTTTAAAATACATAATATATGTCTGAATTGTCAATATAAATGAGTCAGATAAAATTAAATTATTAGAAGAATTTTTCACTATGTAACAAAAAACAAAATTTGTTTAATTTACTGTTTGTATTTTGAGAACGATTTCCGAAGTGGAAATAGAAACGTCAATAAACGTATTTTTATCTTTAATTGTGGCTTATTCCCAGTTAAATAGCAATTAATTTAAAATGCCACAAGAAAATAGCTTCAGAACAATATAAATTTAAGAATGAAATATAGTGTAAGGCTGAAATTAAGATTTGTATTTCTCAAATTATCTTCAGAAATCATTGAAATATAAAAAAATACATGAAAAAGTTAAGTGGAATTACAAATTCCATATTGTTATGTTCATGCATGAATGATAATACAACAATTAAAATGGATTTTATTTCCTACACATTTATAAGCAGAACATGAACAGACTATGGGACTATTGACTCGACAATTCGAATGTATATAATTTTACAGTTTTGCAGCGCAGTGTAAGGATTTCGCCGTTCTGGGAAACTGAAAGCAGCGTTTGAACGATCCTTTGCGGTTCGCTGTTCATGCATTAATTTGACCGAGCAACGTGTCGCGATCACACAGTTCTTCCGTAAACACTAGACAGCGTCATTCATAGGTATGATTTATAGGGTCATCTGAACGGTAGGGTCACAGAATGGGATTGTATCAATCACGGGTCTTCGGAGATCTTTGTGAACGGTTCATTCATGACCTTCTCATCACTACAATATATGAAGTGGTAATGTTGTTGTAGAGACGCCCCATGTAGTTGAGTTTTTGGATTATTTTCTTCTAAGTTCTGATTTTGGCAGCGATATTTTCTAAGTATTTTCGATACGAGAGGGATAGTTCCCGATGTACTTTAAAACGCCCTCTCGTCGTCGAGTCTACGCTGAACGCCTACATGCTAAACCAGGCCCACCTCTGTCATTCTGCGATCCCGAAGCGGAAAGGCCGCTGTAAAACCGGCACTACTTTCATATATATTAAACCTAAAGCTAAGATTAATATTATTATAAGAATTAATATTAAACTTAACAGGCTTACGGGTTAAACCACGTCGATTATCACTGCGCCGAGCTTTTGACATCATCTCTAATGTCTTCTTAAGGGCTCCGAGGTCTCAGTCTCCCGAGCCCCCAGACATTACTACACTGATCACCAATCAATGCACTACTGCTACTAGGAATAGTAGACGGGTCATACAGCAGACGGTTCATTTATACCGTCGATAGTGACGTGGTTTGGATGGAGGTTTATCGCAATAAGCCCGTTATTGATGAGTTTTGGTTTTCTTATGCCTCCGTTGAAAGATACTTGGAGATTTCGGTTACTCACTATATTTTGTATTATTATTTGTATTGTCTGGTAGTTACTCCTTCTTTCCAGACAGTGTCATAGGATGATGTTAGGTTCGGGAAAACACTTGTTTTCAGTTTCTTTTGAAAAGCAGCCGGTGACGGGTAGCTCTTTTAGACAGTAGACTCAGTAAAACTCAGGTTTAAATTTAATAAAAATATATTCGAAATAAATAAAAAACAAAATAAAATTATATCCTAGATAATATATATTATAATAAAAATTAAGAGCGTCAATCCTGGCGACGCGACGACGGCATCCACGGCGGTATGACCCACTGTTTAATATCTGAGAAAAAAATGATAAAATACAATGAATGATATAAAATCTAAACGACAATTATGCTGTGTTAATACACTTACACACAGGATACAGACGGTAGGGAACGGGTCGAAGGAGTAGAAATGCAGCGGACCAATCAACACTCGGACAGGCGAGAAACGGACCGTTTCCGGCGGCTGCTCTTTTATACGGTCAAAGGCCTTATCTCCTCTAGCGCATATCGATGGAGGAGGAACTTTTGGTAGGAATACGTGACTACGAAGCGCTGACGGTATCGAGGCGATGCAAATCGTTATAAGCCTCTAGTTTGTATATGCAGCTTAGGAGTGCTACTGGTCTTTAGCTTTGTAGTTAGTATGCTGGTTTCCCTGGCATTAGTAGGACTATTATTTTTGAACTCTCTAGGGAGGTGGTTTATTAAGAAATTCGAGAAGAGTTTTGAGCGCCACCTAATTACATTTTTACCAGCATGGATAAGAAATTCTAGGTGTATGCTGTCAAAACCTGGAGCTTTACCCGGTTTCATGTCCTTTAGAACAATAGCAACCCCATTCTCAATAAATGACCGTTTTTCAGTAAGAGATTTTTTTGTCTGTCAATAGGTCATCGTAGGTCACCGAAATAGCAGATATAAATTTTTTATTTTAAATAAACTGGATCAAATAAAACTGAAAATGGAATCAAACATGTGGCAGCTTAATGCAATTTACTATTTTTATGGGAATAAGCCACCATTTTACTTTAAAAATAATTTTATTTGACGTTTCGATTTCCACTTCGGAAATCGTTCTCAAAATAACTATTTCCGAAGCGGAAATCGAAATGTCAAAAGTAAAATTGTGGCTTATTAAAAAACAGTAAATTGGAACAAAACATTAAAACAAATGTATAACTATTTAAATGTATTTGGAGATTCAGTGAAATTAAATATTTTTCTCAATATAAATGATATTTTCCACGGCTGTATAAAACTTTCTCCTCCAATCTGAATTCAAGATTAAATATTTTTCTCTTATATATTTTTTATCATTTTCTAGATTTTATGTAGATATGCCCAGAGAGGTAACAACTGTAGAGTTTTTGGAACAGCAATTCATAATCAAACAGCTATTTCTGATGGCTAAATGTTTGGACGTCGGTGACGTAACTACCAGAGAATGTTTGAACAAACTAATTGTCAACATTTTGGAGAATGTCGTTCTGACAAGAGATGTCGTCCAAGTGATAGTAAGCAATCTGGAAATAACAAAACCGAATCCTGAAGTAATGACTCAGTTTGTTAGTGAAATTATTTCGGATATAATGTATCCAATGGATATCGAGGAAGTAGCAAGAGTTCAAAAAGAGAGAGATTTTAAGGTAAGTCATTGATTTCTAAACAATTTATTCAAACTACGGTATGTTGGTACCTTTTTTTGGTACCGTTTCGGCATACTAAGGACTACGAAGATTTTTCATCTTTCAAATGACAGTTTTCTTCCTCTGCCAGTATTTGTCATTTTAGTCGAATGATGGTATCTTTTATACAATTTTGATCTTTCATTTTTTGCCATAAGCAATATTTAAGGTCGTATACTTGTGGTAAAAGCTCAGGACAATATAGAGAAAATTCAATATACTGTCACTATTTTCCTCCTTAATTCGGAAAACATCGACCGCCCGAAAAAATTTGCAAAGAAGAAATTACAACAATTTAAGTCATTACTATTTTGTTAAAAAGTTTAAAATGACCGACATATTGAACAAAAAGAATTCCTATAAAACCAATCTCCACAAGATCTTAAATATTGATTTTAGCAAAAAAATTAAATGGATCAAAATTGTATAAAATCTAATTATCTCCATTGCTGTTTGTTGTTTATGTACATTCATGTCGTGTAGTTAATACTACACGAGATAATTCAATAATTATGCTTTGTCACTATTTTCCCCCTTAACTATCTGAAACTAACTGAAAATGTCGATCGCACGAATAAATTTGTATAGAAGAAATTGTAGGAAATCGAATTTGCAACAATTTCAGTTCAAAAAAGGTTCAAATGGCATCCCGACTGGACTGTAAATGGGAGTGGATTGACGCATAATGGAAAAAAGCCAACGAATAAGAAGAAGACCATCACATCATCAATAAGTCTTAATAAATCGATGGGCACATTATCTGGTCCAGCAGCTTTGTCCTCTTTTGTATTTTTGATGGCATAAATGACTTCTTTTCATAATATTACCGCGGTCCCGTATGTATCTAAACATTCCGTATATGTATTTGGCACCTAGGACTTTTCTAATGGTTCTTTCGGCACGCGGCAATGTTTCAACAAATAGGCGGCGAGGTGCCAAACACGTATATGGAATGTTACGTTGGTGCGAAATGCATATACGGAATGTTAAAATTATTCGTAAACCAAAATAGACGACTTTTTATTAAAATCAGTTAAAAGGAGACTGATTCTAAAATTTTTGTTAATGTATGATTCCTCCTCCTCCTCAATCCTTTAGCCCTTGTTAGGGCGTAGTGACACCCTAAATATTATTAGTCTGCTGTCTCCATTGACTGCGATCTTGTGCCATATGGACGGCTTCATGTAGGGATTTTCCCACCAAACTCTTCATTTGGTCCACCCATCGTATTGGAGATCTTCCTCTTGGTCTTCGGCCTTCTACCTTACTTTCTACTACCAATAGTTCCATGGTGCCCGTTCTTCTAGCTATGTGGCCGAAGTAAGTTAGGTATGCTTGGTTTACTTTTTTTAGTAGCCTGTCTTTTATATGAAGCTCTTCCAGAATTGACAGGTTGGTTCTATGTTCTGTCAGGGACACGCGTAGAATTCTTCTATATACCCACATTTCGAAGGCTTCGATCTTACTCCTATCGATTTTTTTGAGAGTCCATGTTTCAGCTGCATATGTAGCAATGGGAAAAATAAGGGCATTGACCAACCTAAGCTTAGTATTCCTTGTTATTGTTCGGTCTTTCCATATTTTAATTAATTTAGCAGTTGCGGTTCGGGCCATTCCTAGTCTACGTTTGATTTCTGAGGAACAATCACCATTGTTGGTTATCAGAGAGCCCAAGTATACAAATCTGTCGACTACTTCGAAAATCCCTATTTGGCGTATATCCCTAATGTATGATTAAGGAACAGTAAAAGAATGCAATAGAAAATAAAACAAAATATATTTAAATAAATTTTAAAAAATTCAAATATTTATGACGTAATATGTATGCGTAATTCAACGCCCTTCACTATGTTTAATTGCATTTTTTGATTTGCTGCGAAATGCATATAAGGAATGTTAAAAATATTCACAAACCAAAATAGACTACTTTTTATTAAAATCAGTTAAAATGAGACTGATTCTAAAATATTTGTTAATGTATGATTAAGGAAAACTAAAAGAATGCAATAGGAAATAAAACAAAATATACATATTTAAATAAATTTAAAAAAAAATTCAAATGTTTAAAATGTAATATTTATGCGTAATTCAACGCCCTTCGCCATGTTTAGTTGCATTTGTTTTATTGATTTTGGACGAAAGATTGTGACATCTTTTTTTAGAAGGTTCATCTTTAGGTGGTCTTCCAAATGGTAATCTTTTTGGCCCTCTAGTAACTCCCAACTTTCTTCGACTGATTGAAGTAGCCTCTTATATTGGCCTTGTGTCCAAATCGCCTTGCCGAGGAGCTTCCTGTCGTGTTTAAAAAACTTTCCCAAGCCGTTTTTGTTTGAATATGGGATAATCTCTCGTGCAGTAATTTTAAAGTTGATGAATCAGTTCCAAACGTAACATTTTTATCTTGTAGCGTATTAATAAAATCTGTAAACGAAAATTCTTGTTGTCCATCTGTTTAATTTTTGTTAATTATAATATCTTTTCTAACAATATTTTCATCAATGTTATCAATGCTTTTAATAAAAGGTTCTGTAATACATTTATTGGATCCTGCAAGCCCGCTATAACATGAAAAAGGTTGAGCTTTTTCGCCAAAACTAATTTAGCTACGTCATATCGGACTTCAGGAGTAGTAGCTGGAACGTTGCAGAAAGATATATTAAAAAAATGTGCAATCGCAGCTTGATGCTTCTTCTTGACGCAACTTCAAAATCCTATTGCTATATTGACTTCGTAAAGCACGCTATTATTTTGCTCACTAGGAACTTTATATAAATTTTTATACTTATTCACTTTCTGTTGTAAATATTAAATTTTTTCTAATTGCCTTTTAAAGAGTAATCTTGGAGCTGCATCTCTACTATTTGCAAAATTTCGAAGCCGTTTTCAATAATATTCTTCTAAGGCAGTACAGCTAAAGTCTATTAAAGCTATAATATTATAAGTTTTGTTTCTATGTAGACCTATGTCTTTAAAAAGCCTTACTGTTATTTCACTGAAATTGTTGGTTTGGTGGCCATGTATTGATGCGTCCCTATAAGCGAGGCACCAATCTTCCACTGCTCCTATTCCACAAGAGGTTAACATAAATGAAACTGAATGGTTTAATGCATCGCAAGAGGCTGTGGTATCTGTAAAAACAACATCTTTTGCAAACGGCAGATTGTGTGCACGTTGCATAATAGGTATTACAACAATGACGGCAAATGGGTTTTCATTATATTTTGCTAAAATTCCTTCTGCTTCATAAACCTCAATTTTTTGTTTCATTTTCTAAAAAAAAACGAAAAGGTCAGTAATTTAAGAAACTTTTACCGAGACTCTCTTTACCTCTAAAACTCCAGTTCCATCGCGAAGTCCCAAATGTTCAGTTTTCCATATATTATGCCAATGCTACACTGTACGATATTTTTAGCGCATTTCTGAATTTGCTAAAAGTTTATTGTCAAAGCCAATTTCAAATTCTAATTTGGACTCATGATAAACTAGAGACTCTTTAATTCCCATTCCATTATCAAAATAAAAATATTTTTCTTTTGTATCAGAGGATGGACGAAGGTATGAAAGGCTTTCAGCTGATTCCAAATTATGATTATGCTCGCCAATTATACTTATCATACCTGGCAAAAAACGTGTACTGATTATTTCCCATTATGCATGGAATATACTATATATCTCGGTAAATAACAACTTTATACAAAAAAATTATATAAAAATTATTTAAGTTGTTTTTATTACATAAAACAAATAAGTAACGAAAAACAATTGACTTTTTTTAAATAGCAATGTACCCTTTAATTGGGCTTATTTGATACAGTTTTTTTCCCTTTTCAATGACGTAACATGATAGTATCCTTCTATCGGAGATAGTATCCATGGACGAACATGACCTCCATAAAACTATTCAGGGCTGCTACAAATAAGATTAAATGGGCAAATGTAATGGCCAACGTCCTTAAGGATAAGGCACCGTAAGAAGATCCTTCTACAAAAAAATGTTCAAAAAAACATTTAGTCTTGATTAAAAGTAATATTAATTATATATATATATATATATATATATATATATATATATATAATAGTTGTGTATAAAGAAAATTATAAATGGTTCATTTGTTTTATTTTGATATCTAAATTTATGTTATTGGTGTCATCAACTTAATAAAGAGTTATATACATTATTACACAATATACAGTTGTATATGTACTATACTTCATACATAATGGGCACTCTGTATATAAATATAAGTACGAAATTAATACTTAATTATTTTGAAGCCTTACCTTAACAAATTTTTTAATAGTATCCTTTGTTGTATGCTTGATGGATATTATTATTTTGGCTATCTGGATACTAAAAAATATGATTTTTTAGAGCATGCAATTAAATTAGAGAATATATTTATATTTCATTAAAAAATATTTTATAAGAGCTTACCTGCATAAATAGTTATGAGGATTTTTTTTTTCGTTTTTGTAACTTTCCATATTGAAAAATAAATACTTTTATAATTATTTAGCCATTTATATATATCTTCTTCATTTATAATATCTACTCTGAATTTATTTTCATTAATAAGACTGTATTTATAACTGTTTGGCAAATCCATTATGGAAATAAACAAAGATCTAAACAGCACGTGCAGGTTTTAAAAAATGCCGCGAAGGCGAAACATTCATACAAATGTATAAAATGTACTAAATGAAAAAAATAATGTCTCGCTAATGTATACCATTCCGCATATGAATTTCGCACCAGGGTAACATTCCACATACGTGTTGGGCACCTCCTCGCCTATTGGTTGAAACATGCCCGCGTGCTGCAAAGTACCAATAGAAAAGTCCTAGGTGCCAAATACATATACGGAATGTTTAGATGCGTCCGGTATCCTCTGTCATTTCTAATAACAGTTCTTCTCTTACATCATTAAATAGCTTTTGGATGTAATTGGTCTAGTGACACA